CAGCAGCTGCTCGAACTCAAAGGTCCCTTTCCAGCCCTCTTGTTTCTGTTAGGTATAACATTGATACCAAATATGGTTTGGGTGAATAAATATATAAAACTTAGATATCATGGTTTAAGTGCTTATCACTTTAAGCACAATGCAGCAGGCAATTAGCCGATTAAGGGTGCGGTTAGAAGTTACTATATAAGGAAGCATTAGGAGCTGGAAAGCTTACTGTGATCTGTCTCTGGCTGTAACTGTCTGTAACTGTGAACTGGCTGTATATGTAACTGTGTGCTGCTGCGACTAACTGAGATTACTGACTGTGAGTGCCTGTGACTGAACTGTTTTTGTTTGCTACTGTTTGCTGAATATCCAGCGTTTGTTTCTCTGGAGAGTGAAACCGGAGGAGGAGAAGATATCTTTATCGGCTGATAAAGATATTGCAAGGACTCTTAACTTGGACTATACTAGTGAGTCTTACTGGATGGAAATACTGTGAATGACTTAATGGACTGAATGACAATGCTTAAACTCTAACTGGATTAAAAACTATTTAAACTACAAACAGTGTTTGTGTTCAGTGTGTGTATACTCTGGGGCCCTTCCGCTCTCCTTTGGTTTCCTGGCTTGACTACTGCTACAATACTCTGCTAGGGGTTAATTCCTCAAACCCTAACAGTTTCTATGATCTTGGGCAGAGGGCTGGACTAGACGTCCTCCAGAGTCCCCTTCCGGTCCTTATTATTCTACGATCTTGCGCAGCGGGGTGGGCTAGAAGACCTCCAAGGTCCCCTTCCAGCTCTGTTATCCTATATAATAGCTCAGAAACTGAGAAGCAGAGAGGTGAAGCCAAAACGACAGTAATAATTGGTTGGGCGGACTGCTTCCCGCAGGAAATCGCTCGCCTTCTGATGGCGGAGGAGAAGAAAGCGTACAAAAAGGCGAAGGGACGGGAGAAGAAGAGGCTGGATCCAGACTGGAAGGTGGGCAGCGATTCCTTTGGGGAACGGATCGGCTTCTTCTGCAAAGGGAGGGGAGGGGAAAAGGGGGGGGG